AAAGGGATTATTTATTTGTGTTGCCCGGTTTATTGAAACACTCTTCATACAGATCAACTATGAAATCAACTGAAGTATCCATCAACATGGATAAAGAAACTGCAGCACACAAGCACAATGCACCATGATTAGGTCATGAAACAGTAATTTCTTGTCATTTGCAATAACATGGATAATGCCAGGGGACTATTCTATTAAGTGAAAGAAGTCATATAGAGAATGACAAATATTGCGTTTGTCTCATTCAAATACACTTTTCTTTAAAAAAAAAAATTACTTGAGAGAAAGAAAATTAGAGATACATGGAAAAGAGAGCTTCCTTGTACTGATTCACTTCCGGAATGCCTGCAAGAGCCAGCAATCACTCACTGTGCCAAAACCAGCCCAGTAATTTGTCCAGGTCTCACATGCGAGCTGCACAAGTTCAGTTAGTGGGACCATCCCAGCAGGAAGCTGCAGTCACACCCTGGGGACTCAGAGTCCAGTACGCCAGTGTGGGTTGCAGGAGTCCTCACTGCTAGGCTAAATGTCCATTCTCCAAACGTACTTTTAACAACAGTGTCTAAAAATCAGGAAGAATTTCACAATCTACAACAGTTTCTTTCTTGGCAGCTAACTATTTAACTTTATGGTCCATTGGTTTCCTATTTTTCTTTTCTGAATTTTATCTAAACTTAATATTGAAGACAGTCCTACCTAGCATTACTGTGACCTAATCTTATTTTCCTTGAAAAATGTGTGGTTTTGCTTCAATTACTTTAGAAATGCTAGACTTCCAGCAACTCATTCACTGAGTTTTCCCTGTATTTTAACATTCTACCTTCTTTTTATTCAGTGTTGTGATCAAACACGATTTTGTATCTCTCTTGCTTGAAGAGATTTCATAAAAATATAATTCTAATAAATGGCATGTGCATTGCATTTGCATGAATTGCCTTGTAAATCTGGGACCCCGGAAGCTATAACTCTGTTAACTGGAATGTTTCAACCACGATCTCCATACACAGACACAGACACAAAAAATCATTTAAGGCTGAATTGACTTCAACATAAAACTCCTCATAAGTAGCCTAAAGTGATTGCGAGTTCCAAAACTACTGTGCAGTGGCTGCTGCATTCTCATGTGTGTGTGATAGCATATTATTGAAGAAAGGCAAGCTTTAAATATCAAAGCTATTCAGAGAAAAAGAAGGAAAACTAAGTAGCTAGTTTGCTTTAACCACATGTAAATTGTGAAATACCTCATCCATAAATTTGTATGGGGCTTCCTTCTACCGCAGAGGTACCCCCCCCTGGAAAGGGACAGGGTCTCTCACAGCAGGTTGGGGCTGGGGGTGGACACAGAGTAAAGCTTGACCACCACATAGCGCCCACTAGCTGTGGTTTCTGTAAATCGGGTTTTACTGCAATGGTACTCTCACTGTGGCTGCTTTTATACTGCAAGGATGGAGTTGCAAAATAGATCGGTTGGCCTGGGAAGCCTAAAATCTCTTCTGTCTGGTCAGTTACCGAGAAATGTTGCTAGCTCCCCAAAGGAAGGAGATGGTGTGGTAGTCCTGAAAGCTTATGGCACTGCAAATCAAATAAACAGCATCAACGCGGAAGAGATTTCCAGTTTGTCAGAAGAAGTTTCTGTCCTCCAAATATTTTGGAATACTGGATGAGAAGTATTATGACATTTTTCCTTATGCATATGGATTGTGTGTACAATTTATGTCGCTGAAAAATATGTATTACCATGAAAATATATCTAGAGACAAATTGGATGGTTAAATAGCACAGAAAGTGGAGAGCAGAAATTCCTGGCCTAAGCTGAGAGGGGGCCAGAAATGAGCCCTGAAATGTCTATTCGGAACCACTGGGTAGAGCAGAAAACAGCAGAGACAGGAGCGGGGACCTCACAAAAGACCGCACCAGGTCAGAGGCCGGTCCGCACGCCTGATCCCTTCTTCATTTACGGCTGTTGCATAAATATAAAGAAGAAGCATTTTCACAAAGGATTGTCTCAACCAATTGCTTCTTCCTCAAGGCTCCTCCAAGCTCGCTTCGGCAGTACATTCATCTAGAGCCCCAGAAAGCTACTCAGAATTGGACAAGCTTGGAGTTAGTGGAAGACACACCCCTATTCTCCCTCTTCCCAGCTCCAATTTTCTTTTATACCTGGGTTGGCCAAAACCCATGAATCACCTTGAAATACCTGTGACTTGGCCCTCGTTAGTGCTTGCCTTGGGACACAACTGTGTATTATTGAGAACAAGATAATTAAGAATTGGAAATTCAAACCCAATACATAGTTGTCTAATTCTTCACCACCAGCTACCACAAAACACATCATCATTTTTATGATAACATTTCATTGCCCTTGACAGTTACCTGAGTCAACTTAATGGGCACAACACCTTTTCCCACCAGTCAGGACATGTGACCCACATCTTGCAGGGAGCAGGAACAGATGCTCCACATTGTTCTGTGACATTTCCAAATCTGCACAAGTCAGGACTGAATAAAACCACTTAGAAATGTAATCTGGTGTCACTTCCATGCCATACAGACTTTAATGAGTGCAACAGAGTAGAAGTGATGGTTGAAGACTTCATGGTACTGCAGGTTTAATAGTCCACCCGAATTCATATGTGAACGACTCAATTTAATGTGCCTGGTATTTGGCGAGGGCCTTATAAGGAGATTATTGGGTTTGGTGAGGTCATAGAACTCAAGTGACATGTGTAAAAGCATCAGAAGAAGAGACATTAGAGAGCTAATTCCCATCCCATCACCACACATAGATGCAGCCAAGAGGCCTGGGAAAGATCCTTCACCACCAGCCATGTCAAATGGGCCTCAATCTCAGACCTCCCAGGCTCTGAACCTGTGAGATATACACCTGCACATAAGGCCAATGTCTGTGGCATTATTTCATGGCAGCCTAAACTAAGATACATCACTGAGATTCACATTTAGGTGAGAAAAATTCTGAAAAATACACAGCCTTAAAAAAAATTGTAATATAATCTGAACTGCATAATATAAAGTCAAAATGATGGCAAAATGAAAAAGAATAAGAGGTGAAATTTCCCCATTTGTAGCTGCTCCCTTAACTATCTGTCCAAGACATAGAACTTGAAAGCAGGTGGCATAAAATTATGGTAAGGTTTAACTGTCAAGCCAGAACACTGGGTTGCAGCAGCTGGAAGCCAAGTGTGTACATCATCTGAACCCCAAGCCGACTGAGTGAGCTGTACTAAAGAACTAAAAAGCAGTTTCCGACAGCCAGGAGCTCGCAGTGTTATCAGCTGGAGCTCCATTTTACCACAGAACATCAATACCAGACAAGGCCACTGTGAGGCAGTAGTGAAGTGGGATGAAACCAAGGCAGTTCCTCAACCATGCCCAAGCTCAGACAAAATGCAAACTCTGAAAATACCTAGCAGCCCTCTCCTGGCTAATCCACATGAGCACTGCGGCTTTGACAGGTACAGCTTCCACCATCCAACCTGCCACCTGTACCTAAGAAGGATTGGAATACACCATCATACAATCACCGTGCTTCCTCATGGCATCCTACCCAGAGCAAAATGCCTTCAATCCTACCCCTAAACAACACAGTATGAACCCATAACCTGTCAGGCTTCCTTAAAAAAAATAAAGTATTCTATTTATTTGAAAAACTGACAGCAGTACAGAGAAAGAGGGACACACACACACACACAGATATTCCATCCACTAATTCGTTCCCCAAATGACCACATGGCAGGGCTGGGCGAGGCTGAAGCCAGGAGCCACAAGCCAGGACATCCATCCAGGTCTCCCACATGGGTTCAGGGACCCATGCATTTGGGCTATCCTCTGCTGCTTTCCCAGGCACATTGGTAAGGAGCTTCTCCACTTTAAGAAACTGGAACTTGAACAGGTGCCATACAGGATGCTGTCACTGAAGGCAGTGGCCTAATGTGCTATGCCACAACCGTGACTCCCCTGCTAGGCTTCTACGACACCCAATGAGCTCTTCATCTCCTCTATCAGCTCACCACAAACAGAAATAAACCCCACCTGTTCAACCACGGCAGTCCCTCCATATTTACAAGATGTATGTGCCAGGCGCTCAATGAATGCCCAACACCACAGACATTACTGAACTCTAGAATATGTTGGTTTTTTCTCATACATACTAATGCTGAGGTTTACTGTACAAATTAGGCACAGTGAAAGATTAATCATAAAGTAGAACAATTGTAATACACTGGAATAAATGTACCGTGAATGGGGTCTGCTTCTCTTTTGAAGTATCTTACTTCCTCATTGATCTATTGCAGCAGTGTTAGACCACGGCTAGACATGGGTTAACAGAGTCCAGGCTGCTGTCCAGATGTGCGTGTAGCAGTCTGGCTCCAGGACACTGGCTAAGCATAGTTGAAGAATGAGGCCCTTAACCCCTTTTGCTTCTCCCAAGACAAATTCTCAGGGGACATCCTTCAAAAATTAGCAACATTTATAATAATAAAACTTAGAATCACATTGTCAAGTTTGTCCTTCTGTTTTAATAGGAAACCAAAATCAGATTCAAGAATATCAAAGGAGTTCAACACACTTTGAATTTTAAAGAACCATGCATCTCCTCATGACTGACTTATAAGATTATCAACAAATGAAGTGAAGTAACACTAATGGGAGTTGCTGTGTTAACATCATTAGCATTATGCAATTTATGATACAAATCTTGCAAAATATTAATAACATTATGCTAATTTACAAACTCAGGACTGAAAAGTCCTCTCTGTGCTCACCCAAAATCAGACCATCCCTAAAAATTACAGATTTTTGAAGGGAGAGAGGAGGTTAAATGCATCCCTATGGTGGCAGTTCATAAATTTATCAGTTCATATGTCACATGAGTCACACCAAGAATAAAATGCCACTGAACCTTCATTTTATAGAAAAGCAAATGAACTTGAAATATTATCTAGAAAATGTTTTCACCTGTTCTGAGTCATTGAACCTACCACAAAAATAGGGTCATTGGCGGCAGAATGTGGCAAAGCACTTGTCCCGTTCAGGAAAGAGTGAACCAAGTTATGCAGGCTCCTCACTTGAGAGTCCAGGGTGCCGTCTCCTTTATCAAAGCCTTCCAGAGCATTCCTGGGGGAACCAGCATGTCAGTGACAACAGACAAAAGCTATTAAAAATTCTATCGTTTCTAACTGTGATAACAGTCTCCTGGTTGGATTGGTCAACACATGGGAAAATTTGTTATAGCTCGTGGACTAATGTCAGCCCCAGGATTCAAGGATGGTGAGCAGGGCAGGTATAATCAGTGCTGTATCTTCACCTGCTCAGTTGAACCATCTCCCTGTCTGCACTGAAAGATACTCACTCATGTTCCAATCCATCTCTCAGGCCCTGTAGATACCTTCTGTAGCCGGGTTTTACTCAGTCCATTACAATCCCAGGCACAGCATCTGTGAGCCATGTAAGTGCCAGCCCCTCAAGTGCGGAGTACCAACCTGAAGCTGAAGGTCGAGTTCAGGAAGAAAGGAGGATTGTCAAAGGTCTGCAGAGACAGGCAATCCTGAATGTTTTTTAAGGTGGGCAGCGTCTCATTGTTTCTTCCCGCTTGATTTCTTCTCAGCAAGCCTTCATAGGTCCCATTGCACAAGGTGACCCGGCGGTTGTAGTCATCCAAACTAAGATTTTTAAAAGGATTCAAAATAAATACATCTTAATTTATGAGTAGTATCATAAATTTGAGACCAAGTAAATCATCGGGGTTATACTTATAGTAAAATGGTATTGGAGCCATCTTACAAGGATCAAAAATCTGTAGCTAAAGAACTAGCCTTGTAAGCAATTGTGGATCAAGATGCTTCAAGCAGGTGAATGGACAAAATATGGAGACAGACATGAAGAGGAATAATTGTCACTCTAGGGAAATGTGAGTGTTCACAGCTTACAAGGCGCGATGGTGATTCCTGTTTTGTACAAGCGGATACTGAGTCACTGAAGAGAGAATAGGATGGTCTGAACACGGCCTAGCTGAAGTAGTTTGGACAGAAGTGACCCTGAAAACCCAGGAAAGCACTTTGGGGAAACTCAAGTCAAACAGAGGACGTCAAAGTTAAATGACACAGAAAATGCCAAAAATTGTTGGAAACTGTTCCAGGGCAGCAGGTTAGTAAACATATGGCTAAGAAGATTCCACGCCCATAAAGCATCATATCCCATAGACCTGGGTTGACCAGAATTTCAAACAGAGCCTGATTTCACTGGTGAAGATAGAATTTAACAGATGTCACAATGTGAGCTTAAAGGATGAAAAGCTAGCATTGATGCATGAAGCCAGAACCTGAGGGTGAAAGAGGCCAGGACCTGAACAGCAGGTGAAAAAAGACCTCTAAGACTGCTTAACCAAGGTGTGTTCCAGTGAGACGGTCTGTTAAATCAGAGTTCCAGTTACATTTAGGTTCCTCTTGAAGAGTAACTTTTTTTTTTAATCTATGAAAAGCATGCAGACATTCTAAGTTTTCATAAAACCTTAAGCCCCAGTCATTTCTGAAGTTATCTGGGCAAGAGGCATTTGGCCCAAAGGCTACGCTGGTATTTCAACTGCCTGTACCCCATATCAAAAGACATGGGTTCCAAAAAAAAAGGCAAAACAAACAAACAAACAAACAAACAGGTCCGGGTTCATGTTGGGGGTCTGTTCCTGAAGTCAGCTTGCTGCTTCCTGTAAGTGCATACCATGGAAAGTCACAGTGATGGCTAACTAAAGAGTTCCTGCCATTCACATGGGAAACTCAGCTTGCATTTCTGGCTCCTGGCTTCAACCTGATCCAGCCCAGGCTAGTTCAGGCAATGGGAGAATAAGCCAGCAGGTGGGAGATTTGTGTGTCTTTTGGTCTCTCTTTCTTCCTTTGTCTCTGTCCCTTGGCAGATCATTGAAAGCCAATGTTATACAACAAGTCCTCCACCTGGGATGCCAGCATCCCATTTGGGTGCTGATTTGTGTCCCAGCTGCTTCACATCCCATCCAGATTCTTGCTTATTGCCGGGGAAAGCAGAAGCAGATGGCTCAGGCCGCCCACGTGATAGAGTCAGGTGAAGCTCCTGGTTGCCGGCTTAGGCCTGGCTCTCTTGGCTACTCAGAGAGTGAAGTAGCAGATTGATGACCACTCTCTCTGCCTCTCTCTTCCTCCTTCTATAACCCTGACTTCCACATAAATGAATAAATCTCTAAAAATAATAATAACATTAAAAAAGCTTACTTAACTGCAGACATTTCCTTTTTAATAACACTCATTGATATTCCAAGCAAGGCAACAGGAAAAATGACTTTTCATGAAATTAGGCATAGTCATGGTAAAAGTAAGAAGGATGTTCCCATGCATGGAGTACTATGCCAAGGACTTAAGGAAATGCAAGGGATGCAGATAGTGGGGTGTCAGCTAGCAGGGTGCAGGTACCTCACCACACACACCTGCCCCGGGTTGGATGTAGGCAGGAAGTCACAGGAGAGCTGGGGCTAGGTGCTGTGGAGCAGTCTAATGACATGGGAGGGGAAGAAAGATCATTGGTGCCAAAAAAGTGGAGGCTATGGAGAAAATCACTAGCAAAGGAAGAAGAGGAGCCTCCTGGGCAATGTTTTTCCGAAACAGGACACTCCTCTCTCCTTCTTGTGGTTTTATTTTCCACAGTATGAATTCACAGTCAACACTGATCTGAAAATAAGACTGTAGTACAAATGAGGAATGAAGTAATTGAGAGGACAAAGACTTCATTCACAAAACATTTCTACTGTATACTATTTTAATTCTACTTTATTATTAGTTATTATTATGAGCCTGTTACTGTACCTAATTTAGAATTTCAAGATATGAATAAGGATACATGCAGAAATTCATGAAAATGGAATGAAAAGGTAAGTTGTAAAACAAGTAAGTTTATTTTATTTTGGTTCCAAAAAATTAAAATCTAAACATGTGATGAATCTTCAAAACTTTATGGAAAAACTATGGATGGACTTAAACATGCATCTTTTAATTCCATTTGCCATGAATTTTTGGAGTATTCTATGTAAAGGAAAGAAAACAGTACATATTTGAGGAATAATTGTTCTCTGCAGTTTCAGGAACCCATTGAGGACCTTAGAATATACACTCAAGAGAGGTGGAAGGGGAAGGTGTGTGCCAGGAAAGAGAAACGAATGTCAGGAGTCTTGGAAGATGCATTTGCGCTTCACATGCTGCTCACCTGCTTATGGGATCTTCAGGGTTTGAGAAACCAGCCTCGTGGCCTTCTTCCTCCTCCGGCTCACCTTCGCTGGGTGGCTTGGCCATAGCACGCTGCCCTCATTCATGGTGTTCCTTCCATCTAAGACACAACGTCACCCTACACTACACTCCCCTCATCCTCCCTTCCATCTGGCTAACAGCTGTGGCTTCTTCAAGTCTCAGCTTCCTCATCACCTCCTATTGAGGACTTAGCTTGACTTGGGTCTAGCGATTATAGAGCATCTATGATAGTCCTTCTCACAGTGAGTTCATCTACATGAATTCTACTTGTGCAAATACATAATCATAGTCAGAAAGGAGGCTGTATTTGATTAGCTCTTGTATTTCCAGTAGAATTGCATCACCTAGAGTAAGACTGCTGCTTAGCAAAAGTTGACTGAACACAGAAAGCCTTCTGAACTCTAAAACAGTTCATCTCAAAATGATAGTCATGACCATTTGATTCATAAAGAAATTAGTATTAAAGAACATAGCATTTTTAAAATGTCAGTTCTCTTGGGAAATTGTTTTCAGAAACATGTGAGCAGAATTGCATAAGCAGTTACAAAAAACGTAAGAAACAGAAACATCAGTTCTCAGATAGAACAGAAGATGGTTCCCACACCCACACTGCCACACACGATAGGCCTTTACCTGTCACAGACAATCTCCCAGCTGGAGAACCGCGAGTTCTGACTAATCAGGCTTGGATCATCTTGTCTTGCTGCCCCAAGCAGCTGATCTGTGCACACATCACACTCATTCCTTCCGGTGGCGAAGTTCCAGTAAGGCAACGCGAAGGAGTCATTGCCTGTGAGGCGCTAGAAGCAACCAACAGTCGTTTAACTTCTGACACCAGATACAACACGAAAGAGTGAAGACCGGCATAGGTCATGAGCAAGACGGAAACTGCCAGATGGAGGGATGACTAATCACAAAATAAAATCATTTTGGCACAAACGTTTAGATCCATGCATACTCATACATGTGTATAATCATAAACTGCGCTGTCTGGGAGTGTCGATCCTCTGCATCCAGGGGCTCTGAATCTGTAGATTCAATCAATTACAGACCCAAAATAAAAGAAAAACAAAGCATCCTTACCAAGCATGCATAGCCTTTTCTTGCCATTATCCTCTCTATAACACATTAAAACTACTACTGCATGCCATTTACATATATCAAGCATTATAAGTAGTCAGATAAGATTCAACATCACATGGAGTGAATGTGCACAGGTTAATATGACAGTACTGTGCCATTTTATATAATTGAGAATCTTCAGATTTTGGTATCACATGGTAGGGGATGGTCCTAGAACCAATATCCCACAGGTACCAAGGGATTATTTATGTGTATAAACTCACACACACAATGCAATTGCCATTCAGCCTTAAAAAGGGAGATCTTACCAATTGTGACAACATGAGTGAACCTAAAGAATATGATAAGTGAAATAAGCCAGACACATGAGCTCACTATGTGTGGAATTCCAAATAATAAATTAAAAAAAAGAAACAGAAATACAGAGAGCAAATACAAGGACCAAGAAGCTAGAAGTAGGAAAAGGCAGGTCAAAGGTGCAAAACTGCAGCTTCATTGGATCAATAGACTGGAGAGTCAATGTGTAACCTGAGTGCTGCAGCTAATAATACTGTCAACCACAGAATTTGCAATAGATTAGATTTTGGATATTCTCAACATGGAGGAGGAGATAGGGTGGGGAGAGAGAGATAGAGGGAGAGAAGAAAAGAGAGAAAGAAATAGAAAGGAGGGAGGGAATGAAAGAAGAAAAGAGAAGACTAAATGAAGTGATGGACATGTAATTTGTTAGCAGTGCTTATCAGTTCACTCTGTAGGTGTGTATTAAATACAGCAAAACTCCACTGCTTTTAGAAATTAAAAACAGCAAATGCATGGTTTTTACCAACCTGGAGATCTCTTTCCAGCCACATCAAGTGGTACCGGTGCCAAGTAACAAAGGCAGGCCCTTGGTGGGAAAAGTCTATAGCCTTGTAGGGACGCCCTGGTCCTAAAACAATTGAGAAACATATTGAAGTAAATATGAGAAGAGAATATTTAAAATGTCAAACCTTACTCAATATGTGTTTGCAGTCATACTAAGCCCGTGATTTAATTTTTAAAAACATCGTTATTGATGCTTTTGAAAGCAACAATAAAAACAATAACAAAAGAACTTCAGTGATAACTTTACACACTTTGGATAAGCCCGCCTGTGTATCTCAAACATTTGGGATTTAAGTAATGATTCCAGAAATTCAAGTCACAAGCAGCAGTAGGAGTTGTGATTGCATATTTAATTTTTGAGCCCAGTACAATGAATTGGAGTGCCCCATGGAACAGATAATTGGAACTAAATGAAATGCATTTTAAAGACATTTTCTAGCATATTCACTATAAACATACACATTTGTAAGGATGGGGCAGTGGGGATGAAAAGTGTGGCAGCTTCAAGCACTCATAATCCTAATGCAGCTTTTATATAACCAGAGAGAGCTTCCACAGACTGTGCCTCCCCCATCAATCAGTTACAACCACTGTCTGACAAGCATGGTCGCTGACACCAAAAGGGAGAAAAATACATTCAAACCAATTTGGCTGGCTACTAGAACTGCCAATTTTCGTGAAAAGCTTTGGGCAATTTAGCGCCCTCCTTACTGCCTGCTCTATCCTTCTTCCCATTTCCTAACGGCTTTTGATGGTTATGTAGAAACTTTAGCTAACTTCGGTTCTTTCTCCAAGTGCCTATAATAACTTCAGAGAACTGAACAGACATGAATATAAATTTAATACCTGGATATGACCAGAAACGATGGTTTTCTCTTTCTCTTGAGAGACTCCCCTCTCATAAAGCAAACATCCCTCAAAGTGATGACAGTGGAGACTATAAAGGTTTATGACCAGAGAGCCTCCATATCTATCCATAAAGACAGATGCTTACCTGCAAGGCAAGATGTTTGAAAAAACCCACACTGAGAAAGGAACTGTTTTTTCCATTTGGATGGAAGGTTCAAGTCCTCATATCAAAATGATGAGGAGATGCCTAGTGACAAAGACAAGGCTGGGTGATTTCAAATGAGTCTCACTATTCCAAATGAGTGAGACCCCCGCCCAAAGACAGACCCCAAAGGTCAGCATAGTTCCAGATGTAGCCACACATCCTGAAGTGCCATGAGAAGATTCAGGAGTGAATTTAAGCCATATTTTTTTTCCAAGCCATCTGCAACAGGCTGGTGTCAATGGCTCTCCCTCAGGAGGAAATGATCAGGTCAAAGCTGAACCCCAGAGGGTCTGGCACCATGGCTCAGTGGCTAATCCTGCCCCTGTAAGCACCAGGATCCAATATAGGGGCCCGTTTATGTCCAGCTCCCTGCCTGTGACTTGGGAAAACAGCAGAGGATGACCCAAAGCCTTGGGACCCTGCACGCCTGTGAGAGACCCAGAAGAGGCTCCTGGCTCCTGGCTTTGGATAGGTTCTCCTCTGACCATTGTGGTCATTTGGGGAGTGAACCAGTGGATGCACATTCTCTCTCTTTTTATAAATCTTCCTTTCCGATAAAATGAAATAAATCTTAAAAAAAAACTATTCATTTAACTTCTCCCCCATTTCAAGCCCTGTCCAGACCCCAACTTGTAAGACCTCAAAGAACAGGGAACCCTGATTTCTCCTTTTTCTTTTTTTCTTCTATTTTTCTTCTTTTCTCTTCCTCACATTCTCTCCATAAATGTGTGTGTGTGTGTATATATATATATATATTTATTTTTAAGACATATTTGAAAGGCAGAGTGAAAAACAGAGGAGAGACTGAAAGGGAGATCTTTCATCCATGGGTTTACTCTCAAAATGTTTGTAACAATGAGAGCTGGACCAGGTGAAGCAGGAACTAAGCACTCCATCCATGTATCTCATGCAGGTGGCAGCAGTCTAATTGCCTTCCTGGGCTCATTAGCAGAAAGCTGGATCCAAAGCAGAAGAGGTGGGACTCAAGCTGACACTCCAACATGAGATGGTGGTGTTGTTGTAGGCAATTGCTTAACCCTCTGCATAGCAACACTGGCCCCTGGGCACCACTTTATTAAGCATCCAACACACAAGTTAAGGGTCATTCAAAGAGTTAAACAGAAAGAATGAACTGTGTTCATGTGGCTGAGCTTATACGTTTCCTTAACAAAAGACCTGTGCATTCCCAATAGAGCATGGATACCATAAATGATCATATAACTGACTAAAGACATGTGAGTTTAATGAGAAAATCACTTCCAGCACACTCTCTCTAATGCTTTGACATATGTTCAGTTAATTCCTCTAATTTGAAGAAAAGGTCAGAAAGGGCTTCCCTGGACAGATTTACAAATGTTTTCTGCTGGAATCAAAAGCAGTTTGCCTTCCATGCGTGTAAGGATTAATAGCTTCGCAGGGAACAGGTCAGACTGTGAATTATGAACATCAGCTAGAGGACAGACATTTAAAGTGTCCGCAGCTGACATATAGAAAGGAAGCAGTTCCCATCTAACTTCAGGCAGTGTTTGATAATTCTACAGCTTTCATAAACCTGACATCGCCTTGAGTTGCTCTCTTGTCAATTAACTTCAGACAAGCGACTTCCCATCCATTCCATGTCCCCTTGCCCAATCACAAGCCTGTAACCGTACCTTAAACCGAGGCGCAGGCTTGGGAGGGTGGGGGATCGGGGAACCTCACCTAATAATGTGTCTCTAACAGAATAATAATGGAGCCACACAAAGAAGTCGTAAATGCTGCAGTTGGCGATCTGAGGCTGGGTGCCATTGGGCCCAAGGAGGCCCAGCCAGTGCTGAGTGGCTATGACGTAGTCGGGGTGTGGGCTCTTCTTGGCCAGGTCTAAGGCGTCCAGGAACTGCTCTCTCTCCCGATCAGACAGGGAATGGATGTTCCGCCGAACAACTGCCCGTTTCCTCTGATTACAATTGGGGCCGGTCCAGCCAAACCTGCAGTCTCCACAATGGTAGCCAGCAAAGTTTCCTGATTTAGAAAAAGGGAAAGATGGACGAGAAAGTGGGTTAATTGAGCTTGGCAGAAATTTCAGAATTGGAGCTCAGGATGGAGTGGAAGAGAGAAAAATGGTTCCAGGACGGTCCCCTTGGTCTCTTCTTGCAATCCCATGGCCCAAGCACCACTGATGTCCTTAGAAATAGTACCAATAAAGAAACAGGCAATGATATGCATTATTTGATGGCAACGACTGAATTATGTCTCCTTCATGATGCACGTGTTCAAGTCAGTTATACAGCACTTCGAAGTAGAATTTTCAATGAGACAAATAAGGCTACATTCAACCATTAGGGCAGGTCCTAATGCAACAGGAGCAGTGTCCTTGCAAGAGGAGGAAATTGGGACCCAGTCTCACACAAAATGAAAACTAGGAGAAACAAAAACAAAAACAAAGACAGAATGTGGCCATGTGCAAGCCAGAGACAGGGGCCACAGAAGAAACCAGCCCCCTTGACCGACACTTTCATCTCAGTTTCCAGGTCCAGAGCGACCATGAGTGCCCATGGTGTCACCTGTGATCTGGTGGCGGCCATCTCAGCTAATTCATATAGGTGTTCTCCTGCCTCTCACACAACACAAAGGCATGTCCCTTGCCATGTCCTCTCCATGACCCAGCCTGGGGTAGAGCAGCAGCCTTGGATGATCTTGCTGAGCCCTGCTCCCTGTGTGGCTCAAACGCTGAAGAGCTGGCATGGACAGTTAATTGATTTAGAGAAGGAAGAAAACATACACCACGCTAAGTATGGAACCAAAATTGAAACAGAAAAACAGTTCATTTCTAGGAGTTAAGGTGAGATCTATCACTAAAAATGCTGGTTTATTTCACAAAGGAGACTGTGTTAAGACAAAATCAACGGAGGCTGGCAGGTTATAAAGGTGAATTAGTCGCAATGAGGGAGCACAAATCACTAAGGGTTTCCTGTCAGCTGCACACATATGCTAGCTCTCTCCACACACAGAAAATGAGAGCTAGGAACGTCGAGCTCTGTGCGTCTCTCTTACTAGCATTTCGTGGAAATGGTGTTAGCTCACCCCTGGCTTTCCTTTCCCTTCTTAGCCTTCTGGACAATTGCTTTGGGTCTAACCAGTCCCACACTCTTTGAGTAGCAATATGTTAAAGAGCCCCAGTGAAATGAACCCAGCATATGAGAGGTACCTTTAGTCTCATGTTTAACACAGTTTAATTCACAATAGTTAAAGTAAGGATACAAGCTAGATGTGCATCAACTGAAGATTGGATGAAGAAAAGTTATACACTATGGAAACTACTCAGCCACAAAACAATGAAATCCTGTCCATTGCAACTAAATGAATACAAGTATGAACCATTATGCTTAGTGAAATAAGACAGTCCCAAAAAGGCAAATACCATACGTTTTCTCTGACATGTAGCAGCTAATATAGAAAAATGTGTAGGAATAAACTGTTGACTTTGAGATATAATTGTCACTTTTAGCCCATATTTATATTTCAATGGAAATATGGTCTTGTGGTCTTCTTGCATCTTGTTAAATATAATAATCAGTTATAAATTAAGCCTGTAAATATCGAATGAGTGGATCAAAATTATGTCTGTGCATATATTGTTGGAGAGAATGAAGAAGAGTATTAGAGAGAGGCAGGACAGTGAGGGAAGTGTGATTGCCTTCTTAAAACTATATCTATGGGGACCCCCACACAGTAGCCTAGTGGCTAAAGTCTTTGCTTTGCTCACACCAGTATCCCATCTGGGCACTGGTTCCTGTCCTGGTTGCTCCACTTCCCATCCAGCTCCCTGCTTGTGGCCTGGGGAGGCAGTCAGCCCAAGGCCTTGTGACCCTGCAGCCGCGTGGGAGACCCAGAAGAAGCTCCTGGCTCCTGGCTTTGGATCAGCTCAAATTTGGCCATTGTGGCTAGAGGATCCTTTTCTCTGTAGATCTAACTTTCCAATAAAATAAATAAATAAATATTTTAAAATATATATAGACCTATGAAATGGATGAAACTGTTGCCTTTATGTTTGAAAAAATTAAAAATAAAAACAGTGAAAGTTTAGGTGTTACTGGAACAACAGGTGGAAACCAAAGGGAATACAAATGCTTTCTCCCAGGAGACTAAAAGACTGGTGGGAACACAGTAGCATGAGTGACCAAGTCACCTGCTCTTCTTTTCTCCTCTTCTTCCTTTTCCTCCCCCTCGTGCCCCAAGATCAATTGCTCTCTCTTTTTCCTGAAACATGTTTTCTTCCCAGCCTCCCCAAACTGCTCTCTCTGTTCAGGTTACTTAGCCTGCCTGCAAGCTTCACACTGGGTCCTTTAAAAGCATTCCCTGGATTCCACACATCAAATCCAGGTGCTTCTGCATGTCTCTAACCATCTCTCAGCCTCTTGTGGTTCTCTTCCACTTGCCTTGTTCACACTACTTGTAAATATTTCTATTCAGCACCCCTTAGTATCAGCAGGCCACTAACTCCAGGACTGTTTATTGGGGATATCACTATCATAGGATGCTCAAGTGACATATTGAAAGGGGCATAGCTCTTCCATATAGTCCACTATCTTTCTCTGGTAGATTTTAAATAATCTCTGATAACTTTTAGCATCTACTATGATGCTAATAACTGATATACTCTGTGTTTAGATGAGAATGACAAGAAAAAAATCCATACATGCTCAGAAAAAGTGCTTTTTTTCTGAGTATGATCTATCCTGATTGGCTGAATTGAGCCCATAGATACACAGGGCTGATCATTTTTGTTTAGCCCCAGCCAACCGGAAGTCAGTGAGTTCACAACATAGGCCCATGCTTGGTCACATACATAATTAACATTTGTTGAAAGAATGAAGAAAATATGAAAGTTGAACATGTAGTAGGTTATGCCATAAACACAAACTTTCTCTTCCTATCCTTTACATCAGCAGGAAAAACTGCCCTGTAAATAACCTTGAAAAACTACAGGTGCCAAAATAGAGGTGAGTAAAAGCTATGGAAACTAAGAGAAATGAGATTATTATCTCTAAGGAAAAACAAAATCTTCCAATAGCATAAAAACCTAGTGATTAGCATTTGTGCTCTATAAATCAAAGGCACAATTTCCTTCTCTGGTCACCCAGTGGGTTTTTTTATAGCTATGGCAAATTTCATCAAGAATGTAGTAGGTAGGTACAATGAAAAACAACAACTTTGCTTGAGTTCCACATTCTTTGCAGCATGCCAAATACTCTAGCTTCACAGTTCTGCACTTCAGTACGCTTTGAGAACATAAGTAAAAATACTCAAAAAGGAAAAAGTCTTCTATTACCAAAACTGAAAACTCTTTCTGAATATTTTGATTTAAACATTGACATTAATGTTGATTACAGGAGTCAAATTATCAAATATACCATATTTATTGAATTAGTACTTATTGGGTGGTTACTGTACAATCAGACTCTTCAAGATACTTCAGTTTTACAAATCTTGAAATCCATTTTCTTCCAGGCTGTCTTACTAGAAGTTCATACTATCTACTTTGAAAAATAACCTTTATTAAAACATAATCAGCTATTATGGCAGCTTTTCCAGGAATAGAGCATGTTTGTAAGAAGCAATGGACAAATTACTGTATCTGAAGAATACAACTACCCAAATGAAAACTCAAAGTTCCAGCTGCATAGCTGTCGTCAGATCAGATGCTTAGGGCTGAGTGTGCAACGACTTCTCTTTAGCAAGACAGTCACTTCTTGCTTCAAAATGCTAAGAAATTTGGGTGACAATGATGTGTCAGGAGGGACCATCCGGGGCTGGTTGTTGAGGACCATGGAAAAGGAACAGGTGCAAGGGCACAGATCATGTACTTTCTGCTTAATTTTGCTGGCAAGTAAAAACTGCTCTCTAAGAAATAAAACCAACCTTTTTTTTTTTTACAAATGTTAAAAAATAATACACCTAAATTTTGCAATAACAAATTCAACAAACTCATACATTTGAAGATCTAGAACTTGTTTTTGGATTGGAGGCTCTCGTTGTTGAATTATTCATAACTTATCCTGTGAATTTTAAAACTATTCTACTTTCTTTATCAAGATTCTTTTTGGTTGATACAAACAAAATTCTCAGTACCTAACTGCTTCCCCCTCTCCTCATTTTATTTTACAACAGATAATTTACTGAACACGTACTGCTTAAAGGCTAGTCAAAACTACCCTCGGGAAACTGCAGAGCCTGTGGGTATGTTGGGGTGGCATGTGTGGGAAATCTCTATGGTCTTGACTCTGTTTTGTTGTGATGCTAAAACTGCCCCCCCAAATGAGCTCTTGTTTCTCAAAAAAGCACTGAACATGCCTTCACTTGTACTCCCTTAGCATTTTGTACACATCTGGTAACTGTGGACTTCACCTCTCAGAGCCTGTTGGGTCAGGGTAAGACTTCACAAAGTTTTCACATAAACAGAGCACATTAATATGGCGCACTTACAACATTATCTGGTATATTAAGGTCTATAATAAGGGTTATTATTAGTTTTATTAGATACCACGTATCAAATGATATAGCAACAATTTGTTTTCATGTATGGTTTATCCCTATACCGTGCACACTTTAAGAATTGTGTGGGTTTTCCTTCCTCTCTGTACATAAATTGCCCAACATAATTGGTTCTATATAAATGCTGGCTAAGTGAGTAATGAAAGAAGCAATGAAAAATCGAATAAAAGGCAGTAGACAGCAAAGGATACAAATAGGAGAGGGTTTCAAGAAGTTCGTGGAAATGAAATTAAGAGATTTCATCTTACTGCAAAAAGATTGAAATTCTTGCATAACTTTTTCATCATATGCAAATTTCATAAATTTTGAAAAACCCCACACATGCATGAATTTCAAATGTATTTGCCCCCAAATAATAAACCATCTTTTTGTTCCGTTCTCCATGAACTTTTTGAAGTAGCCTAAATCCCTTAGCTGGAAGGGAATAAAAGGCATGCACACATCATACAAGCCTTCTTGTGGAAAAGGTGGAAGTGGAGAAATAAATCAAGTGCTGTCGGACAACAGAATTAAATGACTAACCTTGACTTGGAAGATTGGGAATGCCTCACCATGTGATGAACAAAGTAATGCATCAGAGTGGCCCACAAAAACAATGCGTATACACTAACAAGGGAGCACTCATCTCAATTTGGGCCCATGTAATGACTTGGAAATATATTTAATTTAAAAAATGATATTCCAGTAGGTGTCACAGGAAAATAGATTACACTGTAGCGCAATTCCTTTCCGCTAAGAGCCTACGGTTTGGATGTAGGGAATCTGTTGCCCTCCTGAAGACAACTGAAAAGTGTGAGAATATGAAAACCAAGCACACAGAAGAGTTATTCCTTTCATCTATATTTTTATAGGACCTCACATAAATCTAAAATGAGTTAATGCTCCCGCTAGTCTATCAATAGTGATACAAGTCAAAAGAGGGTTTTTTAGAAAGGATGGGGTTATCTTCCTAAGACATGGAGATAGAAAATAAAAAGACCCCCTCGTACTATCAACACTTGGAGAATATCCTTGAGCAAGAATTAAATTGACAGGCAGAAGTTCTTTATCTACTTAGGAATAGGAAAAAAATGGAAGGGAACGAAAACATCTAAACACCACAGGTTCCTACATGAACTGCATCAGCTCAGCCTCAGAAAGGCATTAGGCTAAATAAGCTTAAAGACCTCTGATTAGTGACTTTACAAGGAACTCTAAATAGCCTATTCCTTTTAATTAGAGATTCTATTATTTTAATAACAATACTTTACACTCACATAAGTCCTTTCATCTAGAGAATTCAAAAGGATTTTACAAGTGTGGTTTCATCATTATCCCCATTTCAGAGATTGGAAAATGGAGACACTTAGTCACTTGTACAAACAAGACATTCTCAGCCAACTGTTCAAAAATTATTTGGCACACATGTTTTTCAAAAGCCTAAAGACATCGTTGCAACTGGTGGTTTCTCACAAAGGCCAACTGGTAGGTAAGCCTTAAAGGTGAATGCTGATGTTGAAGTGCCCTGACCACTAAGTTCAGCAATTATCTCACTTTCCTTGATCCTACTGGAGAAGGGAATGTTCTATATATAGAAAAATGTGAGCATAGAACTGAAAATTTTTTACAAAAAGAAAAAAAAATTCCCAGAGCATGTATTTATTAGGCTAACATTTTTAAACCATTTCCATGATTGTGTATGTGATGGTATGTTTGTTTTTCCAGAAAATTACTAAAATTCAAGGTCATCAATAATCTTCTTGCCAGAAGCTAGCTGACATTCTCTTAAGAAGTTTGAGATTTTGCATGGATTCTATTCAGAAAAGAGCGTTGAGGAAAAGCACCAGAAGACAGGGACTTTGGGAGGTTGACTGTCAGGCTTTTCTATCTAAACCGCCAGAAAGCAACCCTGAGAAGGCAAGCATCTCTCTCAGGGTAGAATAAATGAAAGGGCTCCTGTCCTATATTGGGACATTAAACTTGGTCTGGTGCCTTGAGATTCCAATGGCTAGGCCACCTAGTCCACGTAAGTGTATCCACCCAAAGTCAGTACAGACGTATGATGGAATATTATTTTGCCTTTAAAAGGAAAATTCTGGGTGGCACTGTAGCATAGTGAGATAAGCCGCTACCTCCCTCACTGGTATCCCATACGTGTGCTGGTATGTGTCCTGGCTGTTCCACAACCAAGCCAGCTCTTGCTAATGCACCTTACAAAGCAGCAGGAGATGATACAAGTCCTCAGGCCGCTCTCTTCAGCCATATGGAAGACATGGATGAAGCTCCTAGCTCCTGGCTTCATCCTGACCCATGGCCATTTGGGGAATAACAATTGGATGGAAGAGCTCTCTGACTATAATAAAGAAATCTTTAAAATAGATAAGCAAGCAGAAAAACAGAATTCTAACATTTGCAGCAAAATGAATGAACCTGAAAAATATTGTGCTGAGTGAAACAAGCCAGGCACAGAAAGGCTAATAATGCAGGATTCCTCTCAAATGAAACATAAAATAGCCAAATCTCTCTTTCTCTCCCCCTTTCTCTCTCATTCTTTCTCTCTCTCCTTCACATTTCACATACAAACACAGAGAGAGAGAGAGAGAGCTACCGTTCACAGTCAGACCCAGCTGGTGCCAGGGAGGACGGGAGCCACAGTCTCATAGCATGGCAAGGGCTGGGAGGTTACAGGGGTACAGATGGCCTTGACCATGATTGGAGAAAGAGATCATACACTGTGAGAGAGCCCTGCTTTGGTGACTGGCCTGGGGATGAGGCTCATGGTCTGCACTTAACAGGACCCAAGTCTGGTTGCAGATCACTGTGACCTCAAATGACTGTCACTTCTAACAATATCTATAAGTATGCTCTCAGCAAAGGTAAACAGCAATTACCCCTTTCTTCTGTGTCATTCCTATCCTTCACATCCCTGTCCTGTAAAATGATGATAACCTGTTAGCCAAGTAGAAAACTCAAAGGAGACAGAGATAAGGGGAGTTAATAATTAGATATGATTTCATAAAGTCCTCTTCCTTAGAATTCCATAAAATGGAGATTCCCACCTTACAAAAAGCTAATGCACTTTAAGACTAACTGACACGAAAATGATTGTTCTGGGGGTATTTTTTAGTTTGGACCCAAAAATGTACTGTATCAGTGTGATTTCCAGTCACACAGGTCATGTGAAGCCTGCGCTCCTCATTAGATGAAGAAACAATGACAATCCAAGAGGCAATGTCTAAATAAGCAGGTGCTAAAACAGTTTAGAAAAAGATGGATGGCAACATCCTCAATTTGCTATTAAAACCTTCACTGCCATTCATAACCAGAGTAAAACAAGGACCCACCAAAAATAACTTTCTATCAAAGAATTAAAAATATTATTCCAAAATGAGTTTAAATCCAGAACTTCTAAACAAACAAAAAATCGAATATCCTTCCATCAACAGAATAGCCCTTCAGACACTCCGTTAGTAATACTTCACAGGCTTCCGTGGCATGATTCTCCTAAGTTACAGAAACATAGCAGAAAAGAAATAAATACTTTAAAAGGCAGGTCTTATCCATTCAGCCACCAGAGAAGGGTGACCAAGGACTTTACAGAAGTTGACACTTATATTTTCTGTGTTTTGAATTCCCTGGCAGTTTTTGAGTGTTTATCACCACTGGATATGGCTGCTGGGAACTACAGGGAAACAACATTTCAGGAGGACCTAGAAAGATCCCAAAGGAAGAAGATCCCAGAGGAAGAAGATCCCAGAGGAAGAAGAAACGCGCAGAGATTTCCAAAAAACAGGACATAAAAGAGACCAGGGCCTATTGAAACAGCACCGATCCCATTTCCTAAGTCCAAGCAAACTAGACAAGAGTGAAAACAGCAACAAAAAAGAAAGAAAAAGAAAAAAGAAAAAAGAAAACCACTGCTATCAGATAACAACCCTTTCTCCCAGCTCACTGAGAAAGTTCTGTCTTGCTGTCTGTCCAGCACCGACAAAGCTACAACCCAGTCATAGCTTTAACGAGAAAGATGCACCCTGCTTGGGATGCGCACAAATCATTAGAAGCGCTGTAGCCAGCATGAAGGAACACCTGCCTCTGATCCCACCTGGAAATGCCAAGCCTCACCCACTCCCTCCTCCGCAAGCGTAAGCCCATTTCAGCAGCGGGCACCGAACTCATCCTGAAAGGACTTGTTCTGACTTTCAAAGCTGACTCTGGAGCTCTTTTGACTTCTTTCCCAATAAACAAACCAATGGTATGTTGGCATGCGTTCATATACATAACCAGGCTTGGCCCAAGTAATATTTATTAAAGTTTTCATAAGTGGGTGTACCTGAGGATGTGAACCAAGGCAGCATTAGTCTCACTAATGCTTCTCACCAAAACATGATTTGTTCTCCTTTCAAAGCTCTGCTCAGTGGTCTCTTCTCTTGAGAAGGGGCTCCTTTCTCAACCAGTGCCCGTCCCACAAAGCCCAGAGTAGGGCCAGCTCTGCCCATGGAGGCCTCACCTGTGCACTTGCAGGTTCTGTTGAAGAACTTTCTTGGCCACTGCTCGCGGTCATCCTGGTTTCGTAGGATGTAAGGACCACTCCAGGGCCTGGTGTCGGTTTGCACCTCTGTGCACTGCCCCCGGCCCTCCTGTGATCCACAGATGTTGGAGGGCTCAGCACCCAGAGGCGGGCAGCACACCTTGTTCACCAGGCTGTCCAGGGTCATGCAGACACGGGGGAATTGAGCCCAGACTCCAGGCAGGATTCCACAGGTCAGGCAAGCGAACAGAATCCACAACTGGAGGAGACTCATGACTTTGTGATTGCAAGAACTCTCCCTTTGCAGTCTCTTCTTTACAGCTTGTCTATCTCCTAGTCTTCCACTCTTGAGTTCCTGAAAATCTACTGTCTTTTTATACTAAATGTATTTTTTCATCTATCCCTCTCCTTAAAAAAAATCACTTACCTTCACATGTGCACATGTGTACAGGCACATGCAGACACTATTTTATGTGACTCAAACAACTAACACAAATTTAATTTCATTAGGAGCACCTCTAACAGGCAAATTTAATGAGGGCAGTGCTTCTCACCATCTTCCCCGTTAAATCAGGCTTTGTCTAATTGAGTTAATTTGCAGAGTGCTCCAGTCATACTACTTATTATGCTGGCATTTCTATGCCCCCCTCCTTCCCTCCTTATCCCTTGACTTTAATTGCCTTGAACTCAGTTCAAAAGCCAAATGCCGTGCTGCCTTTATTCTGTCTGGCTTGCCAAGCCACGAGGCCTTGTGGGGTTTGTGTAAGGGCTGGGAGAAGCTGTCATTAGAGGGATTAATATTAGAAAAATCCTCATCGTTAGCACATGGTCCAAAGTGCACAATGAAGAGATCAAGTCTCTGGCTTTGTTTCAGGAGGGCAAAACCATCTTCTTTGTTGGGTTCATGTGCACCAGCCAAACTTGTGACCTCAGATTTCCCGCGGAGTCAATGGATGCAGTGAGTCTTCGTCAAAGACCCTCACAGAGGAGCACGCATTGGAAACGGCATGACACTCCTGACTGCTCGCTGACGCAAGAGAAAGACCACTCCAGGAGGTCACACAACTGCAAACATAAAGAAACATTTATTTAGGGCTGATGAACAAGGAAGGGCTTTGTTCCACAGTCAGGAATCCATTTCGCAGTAACAGCTTGCTCTTCTCCTATGCAGCACACTTTTAGAATCTGCCCAAAGTAGCAGGCCACCAGAAAAATCATAGTTGTCATTATCTGATTGTGCAGAAGAGAGGGACAATTTGGAGTGGGGACTTGTAATTGAAGATCTGGGTTTGTATTAAAGGGAGGCCTGGGAGATCCTGGGAGCAGCACAGGGAATGCACAGTTGAGCAATGGTGAACGCCTACTGGAGCGGCCCTTCATCCGCTTGCTTTGGGAACAGGACTGTTCATGCCAGAAAGTCTACAAAGAGGGTTGATGCAGAACAGCCTCAGCCAGTTTCTCAGAACACCTGATACCTATACATAAAAGTGCTTGATGTCAAATTTTCCACCCCAAGGACTTCTGTGCCATCCCCTGACAGTAAGATGTTGTGACTAAATAAATAGGAGTTCTTTCCTCTGGCTCTGCACCTGTGCCAGCCTGGATGCCAGCCCCATGAGAGCGGAATCTCTGAGGCTGTGCTCTACACATCAGCATTCTCTGTAAATTCTCTCAAGTTAAACCAAGTGTGTAGAGGCAGCTGGAGGGCACTGTGTTAAGAATAGTTACAGGAAAGGCTGCAGTTGTGTCAACTAAACAGCATTCTGTGCATTGGTTTCCTGGGGATTCCTTACAAGTCACCAAAAGCTGAATGGCTTGAAACAAGAGGACTTCACTGTCTCACAGCATTTGAGGTCAGAAGTCCCAGGTCAAGGGGTTGCTAGGACTGGTGTTTGAGTAGGGCTGCACTTGCGCTTAAGTCTCACAGCAAAAATGCCTCCTACAGCTTCCAGTGGCTGCAGGTAACCTTTGATTTATCACTTGATTTGAGGCTGCAAATCTCCATTCTTTGCCATGGTCACATGGCCTTCTGCCCCTTTTCTCTGTGTCTCTCCTTTGTTCTGTCTCTTCTGAAGATACTTGTCATCGGATTTAAGCACCACTCAAATAATACAGAATGATTTCCAGATCCTTAACTCCATAACATCTACAAAAATGATTCTTTCTCCCAAAAATATCACTCACATCCAACACTTTGGTGACATGGGATTATCTTGCAGAGAAGAAAAATTCAACCCATGGCATCATTAATGTGTTAGAATTGCAAACTCTCAGAGCTTTAAACGTATTTTGGAACTTGATCATTCATTTCATGCATATTTACAAATGGCTACATATTTTGCAGTTTCACTCTGCATTTTGTGAACCCTTGAGACTCCATAGATGTTAGAATCAAAATTATTGGATCATGGAGATAAATGGAGTCAACTCTCACATCAGAATTGCCCCTTGCTTAGATCTGGGATTCTATTCTTTCATTGTGACATTTGGTACATAACTGGGTTTGTCTAAGACTTTAAATTCAGGCTGTCATGATTCCGCAGAACTCCAAGTCTGGCCCTGACCTCTGTGGCAAGCTACAGAGTCACGTCTAAGTTCTTTCCTGACCTCTCCCCTTGGCAGTCTAGACATCTCTCACTTAATATGCTCAAATCAGACATTTTGCCCTTTCCTGTTTAAACGTTATTTGTCTTCCATGGATCTTCCCCATATTGGTGAGGAACACCACCATAGATAGTCCTGTAAACCACCATTGATCCTCCTCTTTCCCACCTCCCCATGTATGCTTCCACAGCTTCACAGCAAAACCCAAGGTTCTGTTAATACACTACTCCAAGTGTAATTCACAGATCCAGGAATGGCGTGCAATGAGATAAGAACAAAGATTGAGAGTTAGCATTTAGAAACTTTCATCATGGTAATGTGATGTTGCCATACATTCAAACATATGACTGGTCATGTCCTTCAGAACAAGAGAGTCCAGTTAGGGGATTGTGAGGATGGCGAGAAAATGGTCATGAGGCGCAGCCACAAGACAGTCATGTACATTTGAATTGCATGTTTGTCTGTGACTGAAACCTCTTGTTTTGGAAGTTGCTTTATCATTAGTAGTTTGAAAACTGGTATGTAAGATGCTCTATGAGCTGTCCCTCTCCCTGCTCTCTTATTGTTCTTCGGGGGCTGACGCCTACAATTGCTCCACTACTTACATGTGTTCTGTTCGCTTCCACCTTGCTCATGGTCCTGCTTCCCTCTGCCTGGAACATTCTGTTCCGAATCTTCCTTGTCATTTGGTTTTCAGATCCTAGAGACATCCATCTTTCCTGGCTTCTCACTTCGACATATCTTCACTCAGTCAGCTATATTATACCACATTTTGTTTATTTCATAGCACCACCACTACAAAAATTGTCCTTCCTATTAGTTTACTGGCTAAGGTTTGTCTACTCTACCAGAATATGAATTTCAAAACATCTATAACCTCAGCTTTGTTGTGTTTTTCCAACACTGGAATAGTGCTTAGCAAACAGGGGATACTTAGCAATTAGCTGATATGTAAATAGCCCGTATTCTTTATGTTCATCAAGAAACACATTGCTATAAAGACCATCTTTACATGATTTATATTTTATTCTGCAGGAGGTGCCAGGTAAGACTTTGGTAAGCTGTTGCAAATGTGTGGAACCTACCGGTGAGGCCAGGGCTCCACAATAGCATTCCTCAATATTTCTGACAAAGTATCACTGGTGTCGGACCAAATACCACTAGTGAAGAGTTCTCACAAACTTTTTTGGAGCAATTACAAATGTTAGGAAATTCTTCTTTCTTCATGAGCAATTTAATATTAAACAAAAATTTCCTCCACCAAAGTTCCTCTTAAAAGCCCTTGATGACTCCTTCAGGCCCCATAGGATGGGTTCACTCAATTTTCCATAAGCTTCTCACATCCTCTTCTCTTACAAACCTCCACTCCTTCTCGTTTTTCTTCCCATGAGGTAGTTTCAACTGTCCTCCATCACCTTGATCTCTCCTCCTTGAACAACACAATTTGCTCTTGGATTCCTTAATTCATCCTCCCTACAGCTTGAGTCATTATTCTCAATGTGACCAAAGCACAGCTGACCTGAGCTTTACTTGGCTGTTGATTCATTCCATCCACTGTGTATTCATCAGAGAAGGCCAGGATAAGCTGTAGTCAAGGACTCAAGAGTTCACAGACTCATGAGAGAGATGGTTTTTCCTGGCATATACCCTGCACCAGCTGTATTCTTGCTTTCCCTTGTGTGCATTCCAGAGTTCAAGGTAAAAGAGTGCCTTTTCATTCCTTTCCTGACATTGCTCCCCAGTAGTAAAGAAGAGGGGAGTGATGGGCCATCCCTTAGCCAAGGGTTACTCATAGTCATTAGCAGAAGCAAATCCAGGATATGATGATCTGGGGATGGCAAAAGGGTATACCCTAGAGGCTCAAGTGCTAGACATTTGGCCACTGTTGTAGCAGCGTTGGGAGGTGCTGGGACTTTTAAAAATCGTGTCTCTCATTGCACACGGGTCAGTTCCTTTTGCATATCTCTACTTCATTGTGCCACAGCCAGAGCACCCTTGACAGGATGCCAGCACCATGTTCTTGAACATCCACAACTGTGAGCTAAATAAATCTCCTTCTTATAAATAAATTACCCAGTCTCAGGTGCTGTTACTTTATTGTACAGTATACTAAGTCACATAACTCTCAAAAGGGGAGACCTATGAGCATATTGCTTTTAAACAAAACATTTTTTATTCAAGGAAGTATTTCTGTTTGTTTATTTTTATAAGTAATAAAATACAAGTGGACTCACTTGAAATTATTAAGTGTGAGTACCCAAAATTTTTAAAAATTATTTTCTCTTAATAGAGCATAATTCGTGGATGCTTAAAGTATCTGAAATGTTTCTTGTTTTGTTAAATTTTATTTTGAATTTTTGAATTTTATGGTACAATTTCATACAGACTGGGTAAACAAAACATTTTACATGCATTTTAAATCAACTAAATCCATGTAAAATCTCTCCTAATCTTTCTCAATGTTAAGTCTCTCCTATTTTCGGATTTATTTTTATTGGAAAGGCATATTTACAGAGGAAAGGAGAGACAAAGAGAAAGATACTCTGTCCACTGGTTCATCCCCCAAGCAGCCAAACTGATTCAAAGCCAGCATCTAAAGCTTTTTCCTAGTCTCCCATGAAGGTGCAGAGTCCCAAGGCTTTGGGCCATCCTCTACTGCTTTCCCAGGCCACAAGCAGTAGAGCTGAATGGGAAGTAGAGCATCTGGAACACAAACCAGCAGTCATATGGGATCTCAGTAGTTGCAAGGCAAGGATTTAGCCACTGAGCCATCCTGCCAGAC